TGGCAGCTTTTGTTTCTGTGTGAAAAGTGAAATAATGTAATCATCCAAAATAAAACCAGGATATTTGGAAAAGCTGTGCTAAAAAAAATCTGTGCTCTGTTTGACAGCATTTGGCAAATACTTAAAAAAAAAAGAGGAAATTTAAGAATAATTCTGCTTTCCTCCTCCTATTTGTTACTGCTTCTAAACAAGCATGCTGGGAATGCACCAGTTGAAAGTTGATGGCTTATTAATAGATGAAACTGTATACTGTACACATACACACATGAAAGTACACATTAAATACTGTCCACTTAATCTTTTGTCTCTGATTTTTATTTTTATTTTTTTGGTATATCTGTTTATGATAATCAACTAAGAAACTCACTATTTCCTTATGTTTGTGACTCACATAAACACACTGTCACTCCGACACATGAACATATGCACGAACACATGCATGCAAGCACTGACACAGTCACTTGATAACCTTTTACTTTGCCCACCCACTCACTGGTTTTCTACAACAATAACACACTACATGTGCGTGGATTCAATTCTCTGCCTTCTCGTTCTTCCAGCTCAGATTTACACACCCAGTTAAAACACATGTTTCAAACAGCTTCAGTGAATTCAAAGAAAATTACTTTGGCATGAAAATGTGACATAAATACCAAACAGCGAAATGAAGAAAGCAGCATAATGAAGCAGGGTTACGTGATTAACACTAATTCTAGGAGTTTGGGATAAGTAACCAAATGGATCTTTAGCTTTGAGTATTTTTACTCTGTCCCCCTTCAGAAGTCATGCTTAGAAATGGGGAAAATGAAAAATCAAATGCAGCTGCTTCAGGTCCCAGGACATAAGTTGCAGGCTCTGGGCCGCTTTGTTGCTTTGAGGCCCTTTTCAACTCATTAAAAGTGTTTTTACTGGCATACCAAGTCCACCTGTGAGTCATCCAACTCATGATGGCAACTTCAATGCATAGCCAAGTGCAAAGGTCACCGTTAAACAACAGTAACTCATTGGAGCAGGCAATGTCAAAATTGAAATCTGCACGGGTACCGCGTCATGCATGTGTGGCTCGTATCGGCTTCGCCCTCATAAAATGCAGAGGAACAAAGCGCGGCCATGTTAATGTGACATTTGCTGCCCTCGTGGTGCGTCTTTTTCATTTACCAACTGACACTCGTGACATTCATTGACCACTGTGGTGTTATCTTCCAGATCAGATGCCCTTTAAATAAGAAAAAGGGCTTCGAAATGGGGTGTTTGTTCTAGGTGTAAATTATTCCCACTGTGTTTCCAGGGGTTTGAGCTCCAGTGCAAAATGTGCAAATATATATAATCCCTTACGAGCATTTGTTAGCCATACTCTCAGGACATTTAACGATGCTCCCTGGGAGGGTATAGCATAGTTTTGTATATTTCCACTGAAGTGTGCAAATGTGAAAAAAATAAATAAATAAATCACACTCTAACAGGGGTGTGTGCCCACTTTTGTGGTTGGATTTGTGGTTTCTCTATAAGAAAAGAGGTATGTGGGAATCTGTGCAACCATTAAGGCCTTCCCGGACTGCCCAACAATGAGGCAGCGAAGGAGGAATAAGTGGTGTTTGATCCTATCAACCAACATCTGGCCTACAGGAGGAGCTAAAGTTAGCAGCCCATGCTGATGTCATTAGGGTAAAATAGCAAGTATACTGGCAAAGGCACAGTGTTC